TGTCTTCTGACTGCTAGTTGGTGCTCGGGGACGCGCTCTGCCAGCCTTCTGCCTGCCTGTCCTCCGTGATGGCTGCTACGGTCCTTAAACGCTGTATGTTGTAGATGACTCCTGCTTTTTCTTCTTGGGCTACGGGGTCTTTTGGTTTGCTTAAGATGTTTGGGAGGGTTTAGTTGGCTGGTGTGCTACGGAGATGCCGTGTGGTTGTAATAGTCTGTGGGTGGTTTCTGAGATGCTTCTGGTGTACCGGAGTGCTACCCTTTCATAGCTTGTGTGGGTTGTGCTGTGGTGGGGTGAGTGGCCAGGCACTTTTGAGAAAGTTGCGTGGATATCCATTTTGTGGGCAGATGTTGTATAGGCTGTTTCCTTCTTCTGCTGTCCTGGGTTGCTGCAGTGCGTTTGTGCTCAACTGAATGATGTTTCCTATACAGCTCTTGTGGGAGGTGGGGTTGTTGCTTTGGTCATGGAGCGCTCGGTGAGCATGGGTTGTTTTTCGATAGACTTGCATTTCTAATTTGCCATCATCTCCTCTGCTGACGTGGATATCCGAGAGGGGTAGCGTGCTGTTGTTTTCTTCTTCCCTTGTGAATGTCATTCCTTTGAAGATGCTGTTGACTGTTTCACGCGTCTTCTCTAGTTGTTCCTTTTTTATTGTGATGGTGTTGTCCACACTCCGGATCCATACTTTTGGTTACCCGCGTGGGAGTGCTATGGTTTCTAGACACTGCATTAGTCTCAATTTGGGCCAGCATAATCGAAGAAGGGTCTAGGCAATTGGAAGTGGGGCAGAGAAGAGCAGCAAAGCTGCGAGGGGCCTCGGCCTGCTGTCTCTCTCTCTCTCGTTTTCTGTGCTCTGCATAACGTTGGAAGCCACAAGTGAATAGGCTTGGGTAGCTTTAACTTTGGGACTGTTGTGGTTTATTTGGTTTTGGTGACTTAGACTCATGGGGAAACCCAGCCCTTTGGGTTAGCTTATGACTCAATAAACTGTGTGAACTCAGGAAAAAGGATTAAGCGTATTTAGAAACCCTCCGCTTCTTAGTTTCCTGGCCCCCTAAGCGCCTTGCAGGCCCCGGTAAGGCTTCACGTGGTCCTGCACTTGCAGGGCTGGGCAACACCTGGCACACCATATGTCGCTGAACTCCAACTCCCAGCATGCTCCACTCTTGGCCATGCTGGCTGCACCCCCTCCTGGCTTACAGCGGAGAAGTCAGCAACGGTGGCTTTCTCTCCTGATGGACTGTCCTGAACTCCTGTTTTCTCAGAGCCCCCCTTGAAAACCATTGTGGTTAGGCAGTCCTGCAGCCATGCTCTTCAGACGCTACCTTCTTTCATGTGTTTTGACAGTTTCATGCTAGCCCTGTTTTTAAAATCTCCACAGGGACTGAAGCTGCATTAGTGTTTTGCAGCACAAACCACCCAGACTTGTGGCACCTTAAAGATTAACCAGTTTATTGTCACAATCATTCTTTGTGGTTCATGGCTGGATTGTGATCCATGAAACTTTCCATCATCATAAACATATTAATCTGCAAGATGCCAGATGGTTTGATCTTTAGTTGTAAGACAGTATAACCCTTTTTTAATTAATGTTTTATTAAGACGGTGATAATCCTTAGCGTTCCTAAATCGCTTTTTAGCCTTCCAGAAGCATCTAGACCAGCCCTACCTCTTGTAATCTTTCCATCAAAGCTGTAGGACTGGCATGAATCTCTAGCATGGGCAGGGGTGGGTGTGCGGGTTGGCCCAAAGCTGCCTGGCGAGTTGTCTTCCTGCACCTGTTGTCGTTGGCTGTCTGAGGCCATCACGGATAGCTCCTCTTACACCACGGACACTCAGATCCTTCCCACAGCTTCCCAACGCTGGCCAGGAACAAACCGCAGGGTTCTGGCCGGGGCTCTCTCCGTGCCAACGCCTCCCACCCTCACCTGGGCTCCCTCTCCGGCCCAACACAGAGCTGTGCGGCCCTCGCCGTGAGACGGCCTGGGCTGGACCCTGTGGGGCTTTCCTAGTTCTAGCCAACCAGCAGCCCATGCTGGTGTAGCTGGGGCCCAGGGTCTTGGGTTTGGGGTTTCCCTGGACACACATGGCAATACCTACAGCCATACTCAACCTGGATGATTCGGACACTCTTGGTGGAAGCAAAGATGTCGATCACGGCATAGAGGGGGCGGGCGCCAGGGAGGCCCCTGGCACTGGGCCCCATGTCCTCTCCGTTGATGACAATGTGCATATCGGCTGTTCCATCAGGCTGCAGCGTGAAGAGCACCCCGATCCGACTCTTCCGGGCTGTGGCCGGGAGCACGTTCGATTTGTACAGGTCATCCAGGATGTGGCTGTACCGGCCAGGCCTGCTTCGGCCCACCAGCTTGTCCCGGGGAATCCGGACTTGCTCGATGATCAGGTAGGGGCCAGAGAGGAAGCCCCGCACTCTGGCCGCCGCCCGCTCCTCAGTGACGCGGTTGTGGCTGCGGGTAATGGCGAAGACCCAGCTGTCCCCCATGTTGACCAGATCCGGGAGCGAGTACTCGGGCACCACGCCCAGGCTGCGCGGATCGTGCGCGGTCAGCCCCACCCGCAGGTGGCCGCACCACCCCAGCTCCTTCTCCTCGATTTCCACCAGGAAGATCTGCCCGGGCTCCAGGGGCCGGTGGCTGAAGCACAGGCCGTTGGCAAAGCTCTCCACCCGGGTGGCCTGGGTGCAGGAGGGGTCCATGCAGACGTTGGC